CTGGGGGGGGTACTATTTGTAGGACAAATTAATTAATTGCTGGATCTCAGAAGGATATAGTAATACATAAATAATAAAAATTAATAGATGTTTTCAAACTGTTGTATTCATTGTGTTAAATTAAAGCACGAGACAGATTTGCTACTTAAAGGGTAATGCATTATGACGTACTGTGCTAATATACATGAAATGACTAAGAACAATCTTTCTGGAAATGGTAGTTTTCTTTGACAGCTGCTTGTGTATATATCAGTACTGAATGTATGAAAATATTAAAAAATATATACTTCTCTTGAAAATTACAGCCTTGACAGAGAACCATGTTACACAGAGTATGGGAAAGACAGAAACACTTTTATTAGACTACAGGGTTTTCCATAACAGCAGTATTAATACAACTTGCATTACTACAGTGATACCTTGGAACATATAATAATAAAAATGAATTTAATCTGTTCCAGACCTCCATATGATTGCATATTTAAACTTATCTACCTACCTAATAATAAAAAAAAACATGAACAATCAACATAAAACTAATACCCACACAAAAAAGAACACATACAAAAACAATAAACATGAAATAAATGACAATCCCACACTCCGAAGTGAGAGCAGACACACGTGCACCACCTTCAAGTCTCGTTATAATTTCCTTTTAAGTTCTACAGTTACTCTCACTACTTTCCTCTTTGGTTTGCTGCTATTACTGCTCACTTTCTTAGGGGCCATGATTACTGTATCACTAAATGTACTGCAGATAAAGAACAAAAAAATCACACTGAACACAGCAGCACAGCTTTCATACGTCAAACTCGACTGAGAGGTACGACGAGATTAACAGCGATTCATAGGATTCAGCATCCCAGTAGGCCCATCTGCCTTTATTTAGCCCATCAGAGATGCGTCTCGATCCGTATTAGTTTTAGCGGGTCTGTTTCGTTTTGTCATGTTTTCGGTCGACTTGCTAGGTGTTTTTTGACAGACCCATTCAAAGTTCAAATTGGTAGAGTTGAACACGTCTCGTCTCATACAAATTTTAGCAGGAACGGTCAAGTTCCAAGATTTTGGTTGTGGTACAAGTTGAAAAAAATTTGACAAACCCATTTGAAGTCTGAGTTGGTTGAGTTAAGAGGCGTTCGAGTTCCAAGGTTCTACTGCATATTTCACTGCAAAAACAGATATTACACACAAGCATGGTAGGAGCACATATAATATCAAGCAGTTTAAGCAGTAATATATGTCACTACATATTAAAGATCAGTTACAATGAGACCAATAATTAGGATGTTTGTGCTTAGAATAATAAGTAATATAAAACAGAATCTAAGTCGTCTAAATCATTTTTTCCCCACTAATAGCTACATTCAGATATTTAATGATAATTAGATCTAAAGATATTTATCTTTTTTTAATTAGAACGTAATGTCAAGAATTAACACAAAATCAAAATAAGGTCATACATGCTTTGCTAATATCCATAGGCTGTGTATTTTCAATCAACCTTCATTTATATAGCACTGTTTTAACGACATGGTTTACAAAGTGCTTAACAGACATTTTAAAACAAGAAAAAATAAGAAAATTAGAATAAGAAAAAAATAATGAGGATAAAATACAAACAGAACCATGTTACCATAACCCCTACAACACCGGGGACTTTGGTTAAAGATTGAAAGTTTACACTTTTTTACCCCATGATAAATGATAATGATAAATGCTTTATTTTCCATTTGCACATGTACACAATGTCTATAACTAAAACACTACATGTTTCCTTGTGAGATTTATCATGCATATGCATCAGAGCATGTGAGCGGAGTGGAGCGGTGAGAATTTCCGCTCCTCGCTCACGAGGCTGTTGGCTCCCCCCGCTCCTCCGCTCTAATTCGCACTAAGCCGCTCCGCTCAACACCGCTCCTCGCTCCACTAAAATTTCCCCCCGCTCCAGTTAAATCGCTCCACGCTCGCTCCAATTTAAAAGAGGGACAAATAATCTGTATGCCTAACAAATGTCACCTTAAACCGAAGCCTTATATCATATATATTGGCTTAAAAATAAAGTAATCAGTGGACTTAATAGCCTAAAGAATATACAGGCTAAGCATCCACGTTTTAAATTCCTCAATTTTTTTTCTGTTGATGCTGCTGCTGCGTCTCTCTATAAAATAAAATTTCACTGACAGCGTTACGTGAAATTTAAAAAAATCCTATTAGACCTACTTTGAATGACAAAACGAATTTATCTGATTACCGATATTTACTTTATAGGCCTTTATACTTTAATTTACTTTATAGACTTAATATGCTACAACCATATAAAACTTGCTCACGTTTTGCTCTGGCTTCCGCCTGTTCTAATAAAACACTCTCATGTTTCTGAGAAAAGTGATTCCCAAAGTGAATCTTCATCACTGAAATAGTTTCACCCCATTGTTGCTCTTTCTCTACATTATTGTCATCTATACGTTTGATAAGAATAGTACACTTGTATGATTTATCAGTTTCCTTTGTGAAATACTTTGCGAATTCCATCTCGGCCAACAGTCTTGATAATAGTACAGATGAATTCTGGGTAGATTTGGGCACGCCTCAGAATCGTAGTGTGAGCGGTATCGGAGCGAAATTGGAGCGAGACAGAGCGACCGCTCCAGCCTTAATTAAAAAACCGCTCCGCGCTCAGACCAAATTCTGCCCGCTCCGCTTCTCGCTCACGCTCCGCTCCACTCCACTCACATGCTCTGTTAGATACTGAATGTTTATACTTTTTTAACCCATGATAAATTATAATTATAAATCCTTTGTTTGCCATTTGCACATGTACAGGTACACAATGTCTATAACTAAGATGCTAAATGTTCCCTTGTGAGATTTATCTTGCATATGCATCATTGCAGTAGTTTTAGTCTCTTATGTTTAATTCCTCCAGCACTGATTCCTCTGTGATCTTTCTCCAGCTGTCAGGAATCACACCTTTGCCTTTAAATTTGTATCCACATCTATCCTCCCACTCCTTCTGAAACCTGCAAATAAACCATTTCCAGTAACCCTGTGTGCTCCCATCTGCAGTGATGCTCCACTTATCATAAGGGTCACCACCATCTCTGTAAAACTTATAGGGGATCCAGTCTTCCTTGGCATGAAACTTGAATAAATGAGCACTGCATACCTTGGTTGAGCAAAAATCAACTGAAAATTCATCTTTGTCATTATGATAAATGCGACCTAGAGCACCAGACCGGTGAAACTGAACCATGTGGTCACCAGAATGATTACTGATTGTGTTTGTGCAGATGGCCTTGCAGAAAGGGCACTGAGCCCAACATCCTTCAAGCTGTTTACA